TGATGCTGGTGATGACGGTGATGATGATGATGATCTTCCGGGCGGTCGTCGTCGTCGTCGGCGTCGTCGTCGTCGTTGTCGTCGTCGTCGTCGTCGGTCGTCGGTCGTTGCTGGACCGGGGTGCCGAGTGAAAATTGCCTGGAGCTCCGGCGCAGTTTTCGTGTCGTCGTCATCGTCGTCATCGTCGTGTCCTCGTCGTGGTTTCCTGTTCCTCGCCTGATCCCTCGCGCGCTCGTTCCTGTTCCCTCGTGCGCTCATTGACCCCGGTTGTGATGATGATGATGTTGATGATGATGTTGATACGTGATGTTGATGATGATGATGATGATGATGATGATGATGATGATGATGATGATGATGATTGTGATGATGGTGATGATGATGATGGTGGTGTCCCGATGATGTTGATGACCGTGATGATGATGATGATGATGTTGGTGTTGATGATGAGGACGGTGTCCCGATTATGATGATGTTGGTGATGATGATGTTGATGTTGATGCTGTTGTTGATAATGAGGATGATGACGTTGATTGTGAGAGCGGTTGTGATATCGATAGTGAGATCGATAGTGAGACCGAATGTGATATCGATTGTAAGATCGATTGTGAGATCGATTGTGAAATCGATAGTCAGATCAATTGTGAGATAGATCGAGTGAGATCGATTGTGAGATCGATCGAGGGAGATCGATCGAGCGAGACCGATACTGAGATCGATAGTGAGATCGATAGTGAGACCGATCGAGTGAGACGTTGGTTCCTCCCCCCCCGAACCTCCTTATCACCCGAAGGGTGGTCGTATAGGTAGTTATAATACTGCCAATACTACCAATAATAGCAATGTTAGTAATCGGACTGAAGCGACAGCTCCTCATCCTCTTCCTTATACTCCGAATCCTTCTGCTCATATTCGGTATCCTTCTCTTCCATCTCTGCGACCTCATGCTCACAAGCTTCCCATCCTCATCCTCCTACCTCCTTCTCCGAGAGTAAAGGGAGGGTGGCAATGCAGAGAGGGGGGAGGATCCCCGCCCGATCTTCCTCATACCCATTCTCCTCCATCCGTCTCCCTCGCCCCACCCCCTGAGAGGTGGGCGGGGAAGAGAAGGATAGTCGGATACATGCCTTTGTCCCGAATAATCCCTCCCTGCTGCCTTGACAAATGCCCTCCGTGATGGATCGTGGAACGTGCGGTGCCGAGGGCCTCCACATCTTTCAACTCCTCCTCCCATCTCCTTCTTACCCTCTTTGCCCCCCTTCCATCTCCTCTCCCTCCTCTTAATCATCCTCCTCATCCTCCTCCCTCTTCTCCTCATCCACAGAACTTAGAACGCTGCCTGGTGAAGCCGGCCCTTTCCGAACGCATCTCCCGACGAACGGACACCGCTGCACACTGGGAGCCCCTTCCTCGGCGCACCGACGTCGGCGCATTGGCGACTGCATTGGCGACTGCCATGAACGCGGAAGGATGCCACCTCCCAGATAGATGCCGACATCCAAACCCTACCGCCACCAACCATGGAATCTCCCGAATCGATGGGAGGCGGGGGTAGGGCTTGGTTTTCGGCACGTGCTCGACGGATTCCGGATCCTCCCCCCGCCGCCCATCGAGCTGCCCGAATCGTTGATCGGCGAGGGTAGCGTTCTGACTTCGCCGCCGACCAAGGCTGAGAGGGGGTTGGGGGGCAGCCGTCGCAGAAGGCAACTAAAAAGGCCACCGCCCGCCTGAGCAGCTTTCTGAGCCTTCTTCGAAGCCCCGCCGCCTTCTGAGGAGGCCTGCCCCCTCTCACAGCTCGAAGGGGGAAAAAGCAATGACATGAAAATAAAAAACTCGGGGGTCCGCGCGGACTCCTCGCATCGGCGTTGGGGTCCCTGGCTGCGCCTCCCGCGCCGCCCCTGGCGCGCTCCGCGCGCCAGGCAAGGGGGGTCCAGCGCTGATCCGCGAAATCCCCGCGGACCTCAGAGTCTTCATGTTTATGCCTTCATTGCGTGTTCCCGTAACTCACTTCCCTCTCGCCGCGCCGCCTAGCTTAGGTTCCTCCATGGCTGCGCAATCAACGACCCACCACACGCCGCGAGAGCAACTCTCTCTGTGGCTCCTACCCACTACACGCCCTCAGCCCTGAGGCAGCCGGCCAGGTCAGGACAGCGAGTAGCCATCGGCCACAGGAGCGGTGCACTTGCCCGACGGAAGCACGAAGGGCTTGTCCTTGTACATGGCCACCCCTCCCTTGCTGTTGAAGTGCGGCTGGCACTTCGAGAACAGTTTCTTCTTGTCACAAGGTCCTAGAATAAAAACGAGCAATGCATAAACAAAAAAAGTCGGAGGTCCGCGGGGATTAATTGAGTCTGCGCTGAGCCCCCCTCCCTGACGCGCGGAGCGCGCCACGGGCGGCGCCGGAGACGCCGACAAGGGGTACCAACGCCAGTCCAAGAAATTCGCGCGGAGTTCCGTGTTCATGCAATTTTTCCTTTGTGGAGGTCCAGGCTCGGCCGGTGGGTCCATCGGCATGTCGCCAAACACTACCCTGTCACCTGGTTTCGCGCCCTCGGGGACTTCGACGAACTTCACGTCGGAGTGGTCCGCGCTCGAGGCGCACAGCACCATCCCGTTGCTTGGAAACCCTGCCAGCTTCTTGGGCTTCAGGTTGGCCACGACCAGCACCTGCCGGTCGGGCCGAAAGCTTTCTCATTTCTACCTCGCCCCCCTCTGGGCAGGAGGTTGGGCACAACCAGAAACTGGAACTGTGGCTGCAATCGACCCCACCACACTCACTTCTGGAGCAAAAACACCACGGCCAGGAATCTCGGACTCTACCCCGTGAGTGCGACTGCGCAGAACACCCGGAAAGGGAAGAAACAACAAGAAGAAGACGAGGGACGGATGAGGAAGAGGAGACGCCGAGGTCCTGTTGACGAACCGACACATCGCGGCGTAGCCGCACAATAAAAAACTGGGGGCGCGGGGTATGCGTGCACAGAAAGCAGCATAACATGTGCAGGATGTTCTCCATCAGCCGCCTTTTGGTCCAACACGCCACGTGCTCCCCACGGCGGCCGCCCAGAGCCTGCGCGGTAATTCCAGCCCGCTGTCGAAGGTGCACTTGGCCACGGAACAGCGGACAGACCTCTGTGCGCAAATTTACCTTCATCTGTCCTGACAACTGGAGTCCCTCCTCATAGAATCGGGCCTTGACGCTGTCTGCATGGATAGCCCATGCAGCTCAGCCGGTACCATCTGCGCATCCCGGCGTACCACGTCTCGCCCTTCCTGATGCCGTACTCGAAACGTGCAGCCGCCCCCCACTCAAAAACTGGAGTTGCTCGATCAGCTTCTTCACTCCCTGATCCGTGCCTAGCGTCGCACGAATGCCTTTGAACTTACTTTGCAGCTCCACTGGGTACTCCTCGAAAATATTGGAGGCCTGGGCGTCTGGCTGAAGTCCAGTTCGCTTGGTCCAGGATGCGATGTTAGCGACGTATACCTCGATGTGTTCCAAGCCGAGGAATGCAGGAGGCTGGCCGTAGCGTCTACCTCTCTCTGGTGGGGGCTTGGCGTCGGCTCGCCACCGCTCCAAGCCCTCGCCTTGCCGTCGATCGAGACCATCATTCTGCCGCTGATTTGACCTTCCTAACGACTGTTTCGATGTATTCCACCAGTCCGGCGAGGCCCCCCCATCCTGAGTAGTGGTCCCAGTCGCCGACGTACTACTCCTGCTCCTCCCAGTGTTCGCACTGCGTCTGAGCGTCCGTGGTTCCTCCAGCTCGTGCCTCCTCATCTCGCGGTTCACCTCCTGCGTCGTTGACATCGTGCCTGTCTGACGCTGCCCTCCAGATTCGATAACCACGCTCCGGCTAATATTGACAACGGCTCGAAAGAAGGAGAAGGACATCAACTTATCAGAGAGGGGCACCATCGACTACATGTCGCTATCCGCGCCTGGCCCAGGCAGGGCGAGCAAAGCCTTGAAAAGGCCATGGGAAGCCCGAAGAGAAACATCACACTTTTTCCAAATCTAAATGACATTGTAAGATTGCTGGAGATGATTCTGCGCTCGAAGTCCACGTCTCTTCACGACAGAGGAAATCCAGACTCCAAGCACGCATCGCTTGGCAAAGCGTGTAAAACTTCTCGTCGATCAGGCTGCTGGCATTCCACGTAGCAGTTGTAATGCGCCCACTTTGCGCACCAGAGGCGGACGTGGGCGTGGGCAGGCCGACGGCGTTGAAAAAAAACATAGTGAAACTGCGTCCTTGCCTTCTGGGCCCCGTCACTTCCCCGCGTTCTTCCCGCCCCCCCCCCCCAACTTGCCCGCGGCGCGGCCCGGCGCTGCGCCGCGTAATCTGCAGCGCCCAACGGATGGAGCAAACTGATAGGATGCCGTTGCCCCCCGCCTGCATGGCGAACGTCTCATCGTTGGCCCAGATACTTCTGAAACCCAATCGCCCCCAAAGTCGTTTGAGACCAAATAGATACTGAGTGGGGATCCGAGCGTTGGTTGGCTCATCTGCGTGTGCCCATATCTTTTTGGCAAGAGGGGAATCGGGAATCTGCGCAACGTGCTCCAAGTCGCCTCCGCGTCTGCATCGTTGCGCATCTTTGCGGGAACGACGCCGCCGATGACCTCTCCCCTCGTACAGACCTCGGCCAGCGCTGGCACCGTCAACTTGTCGAGCTCTTGCTCGATGAATTGTTATCTTCCGGTGCCCGCGACTAAAAATTCATCCAAACTCCCGAACAAGATGGCGTCGGCGTCCGCATTGCCGCACGTCGGCGCCTTGCCAGGCTGCCGAAGAAGAACAACTTCACGTTCAAAGTCCGTGACGTCGGCATCAACGGGCGCTCCAGACGCAGACCTTGCCGAAGCCGGCCAGGGAGAATAATTTGATTCCAGGAAGCGCAACCGATTGGCCAAGTCGTTGATGTTGGTATTTATCGAGTTGAGCGCGATGTTCGAATCTGCGTTATGCGCAATGTGATTTGCAGATTGGATGTCGTGCAGGATGGGATCCAGGTTAGTGGTTCAAGATCGCCTCAAGGCCCTTAGCGGTCAGGGGGTGGTCTGCTGTTGTTGGCGTAGTGCTGGTGCTCCAGGGTCTTGTGCCATAGACTGCGGCTCTCGTGGCAGGCTGCTCCCCGTCCTGGCCTGCTTGAGCGCGTTTTGATAGGGTGCCCATGTGATGTTTTTCTCCGCCCAAAGACTTGCGAAAGACACGAGCACCCAAACCAAATAGGAATCGGTAACAGTCGATGAATGTTGGAGCGCGGATGTAAATGGCGATTGTGGTCCGAAGTCTCGTGGTCGTACTCGGCGTGATTCTGAGTTGCAATGGGGCGGGGCCACGAAACGTGCGAGGAGTGCGCCGAACTGGGGCGGGATCGCATGCGAGCGCAGCCACTGGGGCGGTCGCTGGAGCTCCTATATGGGGCCACGAAACGCTGCTGGGGCGCTCGGGGGGGTCTTCCAAATCGGGCCACGAAACATGTGAGGAGTGCGCCGAAATTGAGCGGGGCCGCGTGCGACTGCAGCCACTGGTGAATTCGGTGGGGCTCCATATGGGGCCACGAAACGTGTCCGCGGTATGCCGAACTGGGACAGGGGCGCATGCGAGCGCAGCCACTGGCGCGTTCGCGCGAGGTACGTCTGAGGCGAAACGCGCGAGGGGTGCGCCGAACTGGGGCGGGGCCGCATGCGAACGCAGCCACTGGGGCGGTCGCTGGAGCTCCTATATGGGGCCACGACACGTGTGAGGAGTGCGCCGACCTGGGGCGCGGCTGCGCGCGACCGCAGCTGCTAGGGCGCTCGGGTGGATCTCCCAAACCGGGCCACGAAACATGTGGGGAGTGCGCCGAAATGGGGCGGGGCCGCATGCGACTGCAGCCACCAGTGAGTTCGGTGGAGCTCTCTATGGAGCCACGAAGCGCGTGAGAGGCGCCGCGCTGGGGCGGGGCCGCATGCGACTGCAGCCACTGGGGGCTCCGTTGGAACTCCCCACGGGGCCGCGAAGCGCGTGATGGGGCGCGCCGACATGGGGCGGGGCTGCATGCGAACGCAGCCCAAACAGCCTCCAGTGGAACTCCGTACGGGGCCGCGATGCGTGTGAGGGGTGTGGCAAAACGGTGATGATAATTATCCCAGTGCGACCCTACCTAGGAGTTGGAGCATTTAGGAAAGCAGCATCTACATCTACACCGACAGCTACATTTACATCTACACCTGCATCTACATCTACATCAACACCAACAGCGAGACTCACATCTACATCTACATCTACACCTACATAAACACCTACATCTACAACTACATCTACACCTACATCCACATCTACACATACACCTACATATACATATACATATACACTTTCGCATTGGTTTTGATTGCTATGCTGCGCTGTGCTATGCTATGTTGCGCTGTGATATGCTAAGCAATGTTATGATATGCTATACTATGATATGTTATGATATGCTATGATATGCTATGTTATGCTATGACATGATGGGCTATGCTATGCTGTACTATGCTATGATATGCTATGATATGCGGTGCGATGCTTAGCTGTGCTATGCTATGCTATGCTGTAATAGTGCTGCGCTGCGCTATGTTGCGCTGCGCTAAGCTAAGCTAAGGCAAGCTAAGCTATGCTAAGCTATGCTATGCTAAGCTAAGCTAAGCTAGGCTAGGCTAGGTTAGGCTAAGCTAATATAAGCAAAGCAAAGCTACGCTAAGCTAAGCTAGGCTAAGCTACAGCTAAGCGAAGCTAAGATGAAGCTAAGCTAAGCTAAGCTAAGCTAACCCCAGATGAGATAAGCAACGCTAAGCTAAGGGGGCGTCACTGGGGGAACCACGGGGCGGATGCCGGGGGAACCGCCCGGGGCGAGGAACACTGCCCGGCCCTTTAAGCTTGTAAAGTAAGAACCCTTCTAGGCAGAGCCTAGGTAGGGAATTATCACCTTCCATTATGTTTGTCAGGGCATGTCTGTGCTGCAGGGGGGCGAAGGCGCATATCCCGTCGACCGACGGGCTTGCGAGAGACCGCCTGCAGCTGCCAAACAAAACCGGGATCGCAGGAAAATAACGGCGGGAACGGGGTGGGGAGAGGCGGGAAGCTTGAGCCGCAGTGGTTGCGGCACACGCATTTCAAATATCAAAACACCCAGCATGCAGTACTATGATCACCGTCCATTTTGTTTGACAGAACACGTCTTTGCTGCAGGGGGCAAGGGCGCATATCCCGTCGACCGACGGGCTTGCGAGAGACCTGTCTGCAGCTGCCAAACAACATCGAGCTTGCATGCACCAGGCACGCTTGCAACCCCAAGCCGCCAGGCCGAACAAACATTTACAAACGCTAGCCGTTACAAGGCGCGGCGACTGAGACAGGCATCTCAAATGTTCAGCCGCCGAGACCATCCAGTCGGAGACCCAACCGATGAATTCCCTAGGAAATCGGTGGGCAGAAAACTTCCACGGCACACCGCGCGGGTCCAAAGGGGCGAGACAAGCGTGAAACCGACGAGGACCCGAACACCTGTTGCCCGCGCCATTACAAGCGGGACGGGCTTCCAGCGGTGGCGACGAGACAGCCCGCGACCACATTTTAGCCGGCCGAGCGCGCGCACTACCGTGCTGGCACAAGTTTAATTCAGCCGCTTGCGTAGCATGC